GATCGACAGGGACAGCCAGCATTGCTTTTTTTTCCTTTTTGGTTATTATTTTTTTTTCATTCCCAACAATATCAATGTGTAAGTGCTGAGGGAAGGAGGACGTGCTGTGTGACAGATTTAGGAGTGGCCTCAGGGCTTTCTCTCGCCTCACTCCAAGTGGCTTTGCCAGAGAGCTGGAATTGCCTCCTATTCATCTGGAGAAAAGGCTGGTTTGGTGCTTAACAGGTCCTAGGGAAGTCTGGGCCCTAGCTCTGCTGCAGGGTCCTGCCAGCAGATCCTGAAAAATGGGGAAAGGGGCTTTCTCCTGGGCTGAGGGGGGAGCAAAGTCAGCGGGATGGGTGGGAGGTGCCTGGAAGAAGGAGAGAGCAATCCCCCCAGGGCAGGAGACCGTTGTGTTTGTCCCCATGGCAGGGAGGAGGTGTTTCCCCATGGAAAACCCACCCCAAGCCAGGCTGCGGAGCTCCTTCATGATGGTGCTTTCCTGGGGTCATCTTTCCATGCAAACCTTTTCCAGGGGCCTCCGGTGGCTCTGTGGTCCAGGTCTCCCACTGAAGTGCTGTCCCCCCTCTGGTTGCACCAGCCTTTTGGGGCTCATCACCTCATTTTCTCTGTGTGACCAGGGCACTGGTGTAGTTCACGTGGAGCAGACCAAGCTTCCTTCCAGGATCCCTGTGGATGCCTTGGATTTCCAGAGGTAAGCTCCCTTGGCACCCCCATCCTCGTGTCGTCCCTCCCTCCTCCTCACATTCCTTGGAAACCTTCAGCTGCTTTTTGAAGCCCAGCTGAACCCACTCAGCATCCTTTGGTTCCTCTGGACATCCCAGCTCTCTCTGGAGCTCATCGAAGCCCTGAAAGGTGTGAGGTGGGTTGTGCCACCGTCTTCCAGGAAATACCCTGGAGGCCAGGAGTTGGATGTTCAGGGCTTACATAGAATTCCAGAGTGGTTTGGGCTGGAAGGGATCCTAAGGATCATCCCATTCCGTGCCCTGCCATAGGCAGGGACACCTTCCACTAGCCCAGGTTGCTCCAACCTGGCCTTGGACACTTCCAGGGATCCAGAGACAGCCACAGCTTCTCTGGGAGTTCCATCCCCACCCCTCCCCACCCTCACAGTGAAGAATTCCTTCCCAATATCCCATCTAACCCTGCCCTCTGGCAGTGGGAAGCCATTCCCTGTGTCCTGTCCCTCCATCCCTTGTCCCAAGTCCCTCTCCAGCTTCCATCCAATATTCCCACATTCCCTTCAGGAGGTGGGTGCTTTGGCAATCAAACACATGAGAGGGGCAGTGGGAGAGGTGACACCTCCACCTGCCAAGTGATGCCTTTCCGTGCCTGCCTGAGCCAATTAGCCCTTTTTCCCTGGAAGTCCAGTTTCCCAAGGCTGAAGGCAGGGAACACAACCCCCTCCCCGCCCCTGCCCCATCCCGTAAGTGCTAAAGCAGATCCCGGGAGGTGGAGCGAGGGGAGGTGTAAGGAGAAGAAGAGCTGGCAGGAGATCTTGTTCTCCGGTTGTGCCTGGGGGCTTTTCCCGTCGGGGAAATGATTCCAATTCCAGGCTTGCCACGCTAATTTAACCCAAGCCCGTTTCCTCCTCTCCGAGAGGGAGCAGGGATGAGGTTTGCAGATTGGGAGCGGGGGGGAGGGACCGCAAACGATCCCAGCAGCTTTACAGCCGTCCCTGTTCTTGGCAGGACACGAGGGAGAGCGTCTCCCGCCTCCAGGAGGGAAGGTGCGGGAATGCAAACACTCCAACACCTCTGGGTCCCCCCTGATTGTCTTTCCTCCCCCCGCAGTTTTATTGCCGTCCATAAATTCATCCTCGGGGTTCGTATTCCTGCTTTTTCACCCTCCATGGCCTCGGAGCTCCCTCGTGCCGAGGGGTTGCTGTCCAAGCCAAGCCACCCTTCCCCATCCAGGCTGATTCCAAACCACCACTTGGTGCCACCTCCCCCTGGAGAGAAGAAAAATCACTGGGAAATAAAAACGCAGCTGTGGCAAATGTTTACACTGAGCCTTTCCTCGCGGGTCAGCCGGGTCTCACCTCCTGGAGGGCTCCTGTGCAGACACACCTTGGCTAAGCTGAGCCTGTGGAGGGAGCCCAGAACAGCCATCCCTTCCCACCGGAGCCTTCTATCCCACCCACCAGGGATCCTGCCTTTCAGGCTCGGATCTTCCCTCCCAACAAAATCTTGGGCTCCCGTTTCCCACCTCTCCCGAACCTCCTTGGTTCTAAAACCTGCGTGTGACACGTCATATCCTCAGGTCACAAGTGCCACCAGCTCAGCTGCAGCCAGTTTTCCATGGAAAGAACAGGGGGAAAAGACCAGGAGAAATGGAAACCCTGCTGCTGCCCTTGCTGTGATGTCCCTGTTCAGGCCTTGAAGGAGCCACTGAGGTAATAACAACCTTTTGGGCAAGAAGGTTCTCTTGCTGGCAAGTCAAAAAACATATCCCATAGCACAGGAGGGTCCCATAAAGCACAGCCTGGTGCTTTATGGGCTAATTAACACAGGGTGGATTAACAAAATGAATACAAATTAACGAAGCACCTTGTAGCTGGTGTTTGCAAAGCAGTTTTATCCTGGCATCGAGGTCCCCCTTTTCCATTCCAGCCTTGCTAAATGGCAAAATCTTAGGGGTGGGTTTGGTGAAATTCCTGCTCCAGAGCTGGGTTCCCACATGGGAGGGACTGTCAGCTTCTCCCTCCAGGTGGATGGCACCAGCCCTGAACTGGCTGGTTCTGCAGGAGGATCCACCTTGTCCCTCTTGCTCAGAGTATCAGCCCTGGCATGGGGTGATCTGAGTCCAGCTTGTGCAACCAGAGCCCTTTTCCAGGACAATAGGCTTAGATCGGGGTTCTTTTCCCCCCAGGACAGGAGGAACTGATGATTCAAGGGATAAATTCGAACTGGAAGGGGGGAAATTCAAACTGGAAGAGGGGAAATTCATATGGATATGTGGAAGGAATTCTTCCCTGTGAGGGTGGGTGGTGAGAGGCTGGGATGGAATTTTGGAGGGAGCCAGGTTTGATCTCGCCTCGAGATGTTTGCAAGGGATGGAGTTGCTACAGCTGCAGGAGAGGAGGGGGTTTTGGGGGGGAGGGAGGGGTCCTGTCTGTAATGTGGGTCAGGGGTTTGGTTTTGGGAGCCTCAGGGCAAAACCCAAAGCTTTCAAACACAAACCAGCAAGTGGGTTGAGTGCCACGGCCGGGAGGGATGGCTGAGCACGCGGAGATAAGAGAGGAAACACCTGCTGCTGTGTTATTCCTCATGCTTTGGGAATTTTAGGCACTGTGGCTGCCACAGAACACCCAGCAGAGGGTCTGTGGTGTGGGCAGCCTTCCCAGGAGCGTTGTCCAGGGGTGGGGAGCTGGCTGAGGGGGCTCTGACCCTTGGAATGTCCCGAGCCTGCCTGTTGTCACCCCGGTGCCACAATGAGCAGCAAGGTGACCTTGTCTGGAGCACAGAGGAAGGGCTGGAGAGTAACAAACAACTGCTGGGTGCTGAGGAGCAGAGGGCAGGGAAACTCAACACAAACTCCAGTGTTCTGCCTCCTAAACCATCTGCTCTGTGGCCAGAGGTGCTGCTCTGGCTTGGGCTTCTGGCAAGTTCTCCAGCATCGTGATCTCCTGTTTTTTGGGCACCCCAGGAGATCCTGGCGGTGCCTCCAGCCAGAGCCTCCTCAGGGGAGTGCTGGAGTCAGATCCTCAAGCATTATATCAAGGTGTCCCATTTCTAGAACCCCAGAATCACTGAAGTTGGAAAAGTTTTTCTTTCCCCTCAGTCCGTGGGATGTGCCTGGACATTTCCTCACCCCCAGCTCTCAGCAGGGAGCTCGTGGGATGCAGAGGATGGCTAAAAACCTGCTCACAGACACCAGCTTCCACGTCCTGTTCCCAGAGTTTTTTAGAACCACCAGTTTTGCCTTTGCCTTTTTTTTTTCTTTTTTATTTTTTGGCAATGAAAGCATCCAGCCACACAATCCTCTCAGCGCTATTTTGCCAGCCTGGAGTTGCTGAGTGAGTCTCTGGGCCATGCTGGGAGAGCTTCCCTATATTACCCACCACAACAATAAAACATTGGCAGGGGAGCAAAAAGAAGATGTTCCCAGCTCTCCAATTGGACATGGACTCTCCAGCTGGAATATTGCTTCCTTTGCTCCAGGAATGAGTGCTACTGATAGCATAATTTCATTTTTCTTGTGTGTTATGCCCTGGGCACTGGTGAGGTCTGACCTGGAGTGCTGTGTCCAGCTCTGAGCCCCTCAGGTCAGGAAGGACATGGAGGGGCTGGAGCAGGGGCAGGGAAGAGCAACCAGGCTGGGGAAGGGACTGGAGCACAAGTGCTGTGAGGAGAGGCTGAGGGAGCTGGGGGGGCTCTGCCTGGAGAGGAGGAGGCTCAGGGGAGACTCAGCACTCTCTGCAACTCCCTGACAGGATGGGGAGAGCCAGGGGGGGTCGGGCTCTGCTCCCAGGAACCAGCAGCAGGACAAGAGGGCACAGCCTTGAGCTGCCCAGGGGAGGTTTAGGTTGGACATGGGGAAGAAGTTGCTCCCAGAAAGAGGGATCAGCCACTGGAAGGGGCTGCCCAGGGAGGGGGTGCAGTCCCCATCCCTGGGGGTGTTTAAGCACAGACTGGATGTGGCATCAGTGCCATGGGCTGGGTGACAGGGTGGGGTTGGGGCAAAGGTTGCACTCAGTGATCTCAGAGGTCTTTCCCAGCCTGGTTGATCCTGTGATTCTGTGAAACACAGATCAAACTGACTCTGTGATTCTGAGTCTCTGTGATTCCATGATTTTGTGACTGATTCTGAGTCTCTGTGACTCTGTGACTGATTCTGTGACTCTGTCACTGATTTTGTGACTGTGATTCTGTGTCTCTGTGACTGTGGCTCTGTGATTCTGTGACTGTGATTTTGTAACTGTGACTGTGATTCCGTGTCTCTGTGATGCTCTGACTTTGTGACTGTGACTCTGTGACTGATTTTGTGACTCTGTGACTGTGATTCTTCCCTCACCTCCCTCCTCCCTTCCCACTCACTCTTTGGGGTGGATTCCCCTCGGAGAGGCAGTGAGGGGGCACAGCAGCCCCCCCTGAGCTCCCCCTGCCCGGGACAGCCCTCGCTGAAGATCAAAGCAAATCACAAATAGCAAGAGGGGAAGAGCTCGTGGGTTTGACATCTGGAGGCCAGAAACAGCTCCTGCTTTGGAGCAGGCAAGAGGTGAGGCAGGAAGGGGAAAAGTGGGTTTCCAGTCTCTTATTTTTGACTGGGATGAAAAGCTTTTGACGGAATTCTATGGTTTGCTGGGACTTGAGACGGTGGTGCCTGTCCTGGGCCCTCACTTCAGAGCTGGGGGTGGTAACAGCGCTTGGAAATAAAGATGGGGATGTTTTCTGACAGGCAAAATACTCATTTTTCTGCGATGCATCACCTGACAGCCTTATTTTTATTCCAAGGAGCCACCTGGGAAATGTCTGTGCTGCCTAGCTGGATAAAACAGGTGCTGTTTCCTTCGGGGCTGGAGGTTTTCAAAGATAAGGGTTCAAAAGCCATCCCAAACCAGAGGGGTCCAAGTCAGGGCCTGGTTTTTCAAAGGTTTGCACTTCTAGGATGCTTGCCTCTGATCCTTTAAGAAATCCAACCTGTGGACAACACTGAGAATATGTGTGATTAGAAATCCTGTCACCAAATCAGGAGGAGGATTAAAAAAACCCTTCATTTTTCGATGAGACAACTCGCACCATCTGATCCAAAGCTGGTTATTTTCCTCTCCCTTATTTTTTTTTTATTTTTTTTTATTCATTGTTCCATCTGATGAAGAACTGGAGCTGTTGGGAAGTGCTTGGTGCCCTGTGGAATGTCCGACTTTTTGTGGTCCTTGCTAAACTTCACCAGAATAGAACAGGAGAATCCCAGAAAAGTTTGGAGTGAAAGGGACCTTAAAGCTCCTCTCATTCCATGGGCAGGGACACCTTCCTCTAGTGCAGGTGCTGGAATGATCACTTGTCTGGATGGACTGCCTTCATGTGAGGCCAGTGACCACCTCCTGCTCCTTGACCAGATGATAGAAGAGCTTTTCCCCTCTTCCATTCACACCTTCCAGTGGGAAATATCTCTAATTTGCACTTGTCTGGTGGTGTTCCTGGGGCTTTTCCCCACTCAGAGGTCGATGCTCCCAATCCCAGTGCACAGTGCCAGTCACAGGGCTCGGGGTGATGCCAGGGGACTGTGCCACTTTCCTTAGCACAGTCATCCACCATCTCCTCAGGAACTGATTCCGCTGGCTCATCACACGCCGCTTGTACCAGGAAATCACAGGAAAGGGGGGGGGGGAAAATGAGCGTGCCAATGCCAGGGGCTGGATTGGGCAGGAAGGAGAAGAAGGAAGAAATGCAAAAAGGGGGGTGTTTTTTTTTAGGTTTTTGCTTTTTATTTTTTTTCCCCCAGTCGTTGGGGCAGATGGGACGATCAAGTTTCGTGTGAAACCCGAGCTGCAGCATTTCTGTGCCCGGATGGAGCTTTCAATCAGGGTGATGTAAACACGGCTGCAGCGTTTCGGGGACCGCTCTGTTAGGGAAATGTGATGGATTAAAGCTGACAAAGGAGATGTTTGGGGGGTTTTTTTGGTTTTTTTTTTTTTTTTTGCCTTTTCAGTTGTGCCAGCTTCATGTGAGGAGAAGCTCTGGCTCCCAGACCAATCCCAAGCCTCGGGGGGTGGGGGGAGGCAGGCAAGGCTTGGGGGGAGGGAGCCACAAAGGGAGTGTTTTGCGAGCCTCGTCTAATTTAAAGCATCTTTGGCTGAGTGGTGCAGCGAAGAGGATGTGGCTAACACGAAGAAAAAAAAAAAATCAGAGAGGGATCAAAGTGTGTGTGCAAATTCGTTCCTTGTGGCAGGAATTCTGCCAGTTTGCTTTCCTAAGGGGAAAAAAAAAAAAAAACAAACCAACAACAACACCCCAACCTTTTTCCCCCCCACACACCCCCACCCAGCCCAGCCCTCGTGAGGGAACGGGAAAATCGCGGGGCACGATCCCTTCTGGATTTCGTCAGGATTGATGGATGGCCGGGATGACACCGCAGCCCGGACCCTGCGCCCGAGATCTGAGCAGCTTCTCCTGGGTCCCAGGGCTGCACATGGAGCAGCCACACGAGCTATTTTTGAGCGGTTCAAAGGCACCACAAGTGTGGGTGGATGTTGGCTGGGAGCTCCAGGCCACCAGGAAGCTCTGGAACACTCGCAGCAACCTGACGTTACCCCAGAGCCCCAACGCTGCCCTGGGCTGGGGTGGGAGATGAGGAAAGATTGTCCCAGAGTCACAGAGCGGGCTGAGCTGGAAGGGATCATCCAGTCCAACCCTCAGCCCTGCGCAGGCCCAGCCCCAAGAGTCCCACCCCAAGTGCCCCAGAGCATCATCCAAACCCTCCTGGAGCTCTGGCAGCCTTGGAGCTGTGCCCACTGCCCTGGGGAGCCTGTTCAGTGCTGACACAGCTCCAGCCATTCCCTGGGTCCTGTCCCTGCTCCCCCCAGAGCAGAGCTCAGTCCTGCCCCTCCTCTGCCCCTGCCCAGGCAGTTGGAACAGCAAAAAAAAACCCCCCTAATTAATTAAAAATCCAAGCTTTGGAGCAAGGTTGGTCCCTGTCAGGTGGCCCCAGCTGGAACACTTTGGGCAGAAGAGATGGGCCCAGCCTGAGGTCACAAACGTGGTGTATCTGAAGTGGTTGAGGGTTTCCTACAAAGACTTTTCCTACACAGTCTTAGGCCAGGGACACTCCTGCCAGGGACACTCAACCCTGGCTGAGCAGGCAGAGGCAGAAAGGGCTTGATCCAAACTAATCCAGGCTGCAGGTGAGAGCCTGGCACGCAGGGGAGTTTGTCACCAGCCTGGCCCCAGATTTGGTGGCTTCTTTAACACCCACAGACGGAGAGCTGACGTTTCCTCCCCCGGAATTATGAATTCACCAGATCAGGTTCTAATGCCAGAGCTACTGAGTGAAAACACACCACCTGGATCCAGCCAGAGGAGCTGCTTTTAATGAAGAGCAGATGCTTGTGCACTTCCAGAGCCTGGGAGAACACAAAGCAGATTGTCCTGAGCCCTGCAGGACTCTGGGGCTGAGCGGTTGTCTCTCCCATTTTCACCGACCTTCCTCAGCTTGCTCTTCCCTGTGGGAATGAGGGCAACTTGGGATGGTCCCACCACCTTGTCGTGATCCCTTCCATGCCCATTTTGGGATGAGAGAAAGGACTTTCATGGGCTGCAAGGTGGAAATGTTCATCACCATTAATGTTCATCACCATTAACGTTCCTTTGCCTCTCTGGAGCTGCTTCAAAACCAGGTCAAGGAGCAGATTTTTTTTTTCCCTGCAGGGATTTTGCAGCAAAAAAATCTTCATTTCAGACCCCTGGGGAAAAGAAAGCCAAAGTCCCACAAATGTGTGTTCTTTAAAAGTCAAACCAAACAAGCTTCTTGGATGGCCCTGTAAAAATTCTAACAATAGTAGGGAGCAAAAAAAAAAAAAACAAAACACATGGAAAAAGGATTCAGGGAAAACAAGCACTAAGGGGCATCTGGTACTCGCAGGTATATTCCCAGGGATTCCTCTTTGGATCACACAAGCACCACCAAAGTCACTGGAAGTCGATTCTTTCCTTTTATCAGTGACAGTTTGATGATTCAAACCACATTCAGTGCTCAGAAGGGAGATTCCAATCAAAGCATTTTGAAAAATCAGATGAGAGAAAAGCATTAGGGGAAAAAAAAAAAAAAGTGTTCCTGCAATATGAGCCAGGAAGTGGAAATGGCTGTCCAGGAGAAGAGCTGGGGGAAAAAAAAAATTACTGAAAAACCCCTAAATTGCTACTACAACTATTGATATGAATGGTGTTACAAGTCAACAAAGATTGACAGGGGCCGTGTTCCTTAACTCCTGCAAGGAAAAGCCAATTAGCCCTTTAAAATAGGCCTGATTCAGTCAACTCGTATTATCCTTCAAATTCTTCTTCTTCTACTTTTCTTCTTCTGGAAACCCTGCCCTGAATGAACAAGTAGATGTTTGTGGAGCAGCTCAGTCCTCCAGGAGGATAAAGACACGTCCTCCCAGGAGGAGACGCCCTTGGCTTGGCCATGTCACAGCCCCGTTGCCACCACCATCCCTGCCCTCTCCCGCCTCTGCTCCTGCAGAACAGTCACAACCACCCAAAAAAAACGTGTTTTGGGGAGGGCAGGATCATGTGCTGGATGAAGGCTTGGCAGGCCAGGCTGTTTTAAGGAGGGAAACCCACGTTTCAATTTCCTGAGGTGTCAGAAACGCTGCGCTTTGACACGTCGGGAACGAGAAGGTTTCACTTGGAAAACCTTCAGAGGCTTTGGTTTGGTCCCTAGTGCTCCTTCCTTGGGGTTGTTTTTCTTTTGGAGAAGCTGGGAAGGGATCCAGCCCAGAGTTTTGTTTCACCTGGATTCGTTGTGTTGGCTTTGTTTCGGGGGGAAAAAACCGCCGGGATTCTGTTCATCCCAACCCCTCTCCTGTGTCCACGTGGGATCACAGGAGGGAAATCAACCCTCCTCCCTCATCACTGCCTTCACCAGCACCCCAGGTCTTGTGCTTGGCTTGGAAAAACCCTTTCATCCCGCTGTGGGGATGGCAGGTGACTATCCCCCATGGATAAAAACCTGGAAAAGGCCCTAAACATAATTTACAAGGATGTTGAGTCCCCACAAGAACTCCCTGTCCTGGCATTCCCGTCAGCTCCTGCATCGACATCACAGACGTGGCCGTGAGATCCACGGTTCCATCCCTGTTCACACCGGGTCAGAGCTCCTAATCCCGCTTTCAAACACTTCCAGCTTTCAAACAGCTGCTGGTTTTTAAAAGGAACCAGATCCAAACCTCTGCTCCTTCTTTCCCCCCCCCCTTTCAAAAATGTGGATTTTCCCCTATCCCATGAAATGTTCCTGGTGTGGGCAATGTTCAGATCCTAAGCAGGGACTGAGTTGTATCCCTGGTTAAACAAGTGTCCAGGATTTATGTGAAGAGAAATATATATAAATATATATATATAAATATATATATATATATATACACACACATGCAAGAGCTCTACAATATAAAAAATTCCCCCTTTTCCCTGGAAAACTGTGTGTTCAGGAGGGTTTGAGCTGGAGATCCAGACCTGAATGAACTGGAGATATAGATTTATTTCTATATGTATATCTATATATCTGTATATCTGTATCTCTATATCAATATATCAATATATCAATATATCTATATATCTATATATCTCTGTATCTCTATACCTGTATCTCTGTATCTATATCTGTGTCTCTATCTCTCTCTATATATATCTATAAATCTATATCTCTATATCTCTATAAAATATACAAATATCTATATATTTAAATATCTATATATTAATATCTATATATTCTTTAACTATCTGTATATCTCTATGAAATATAGCTATAAAAATATATAGACATTTATATATATATATAATATACAGATATCTGTATATTTAAATATCTATATATTAATATCTATATATTATTTACCTGGCTCTATATGACTATAAAATATAGATATAAATATATAGATATATTTATATCTATATCTATCTATCTCTATATCTCTATCTGTATCTCTATATCTATATATATATCTATATCTTTATATCTATATGTAAATATCTATATTTCTATATCTCCATCTCTATATCTATGTATATCTCTCTATATTTCTGTATCTCTATATCTCTATCTAATTGAACACACACATATATTTATCTCTATGTCTAGAAAGCTGAACATATAGATATATATATGTATATATAGTTGTGTGTGCACACAAATGCACATTCAGCACCTCTGTACATCCATTTACAACCCATTTCCTGCAACCTGCTGACTTCCTAAAAAAATGAATAAAAGAGCTCCTTGTCCTGGGAGCAGGGAGAAAAACTGGGAATTTCAAGATCCTGACCCACTCTGGCTTTTTGGAAAGGCCTGACCACGTGAAACGCTCACCGAGAGCTGCTGATGTTCCCCCCAAAAATGGAAATATTGGGAAAAAGAGGAGGTGAAACCTGATTTTTTATATCGGTTTCCCAGCCCTGCTTGGCTTTTGTCCACTTTGCTCCCTTGGGAGTTCCCAGGTTCGGACTTTTCCCACCTGGCACCTGAAGCTTCGGGAAGTACTTCAGGGTTTTCCTGGAGAACGGCATCCCTGCTGGAGCCGTGGGAGTCACTGCTGGACTCGGGGGGGAACAGCTGGAAAATAGTGATAGGTGGGTTTGGGGGAAGAAATAAAGGAAATAAATGAGGGAAAAAGGTATAAATATAAAAATGGTGGAAATTAATAATAAATAAATAAATGTGAAATAAATGTAATTCTAAAAATAAAAATAAAAATAAAAAATTTCTACAAATAAAAAATTCTAAAAGTAAAAGAAATATAAAAATAAAAATTCTAAAAAAAAAAAAAAATTCTAAAAATAAAAAAATTAAAAATAAAAAATTCTAAAAGTAAAAAATTTCTAAATAAAAAATTTCTACAAATAAAAAATTCTAAAAATAAAAATATTCTAAAAAATTC